ATGTTGCATCGAATTAAACCACAACAAATTCGAGGCAGTCATGTTCCCAGGTGTTGGATAACGCCGTTTTGTCAGATGCCGCATCTGTGTCTTTCATTTGGCAGAATTGGTCACCAAGAAATAAACCAACCCAGCTTAAAGACCTATAGAGCCCAACAGAAGAGGTGCCAGATTACAGGTTTATTAACCAGCAATTGCAGTTCACTAAGGTAACCCCTATCAGGCCCCTAAGGTAAGTTTAGGCTCAAATAACAGCTTGACTCCAGCTACAAAAAGCTCTGATATGGGTTCAGATGTGCTTCTTTACACTACAAATCATCTCCTGTGAAAAACGGTGAGTTGGATATATCAGCATCCCATCAAACATCACTAGTGAAAGACACATACACGGTTTTGAGGTTATTTAGTGTTCTGGGAATCAGAACAGCCAGGAAAATTCTGTAGCTGTGTTTTGTTTCTTAAACACGAATTAAGGAAAGCAAACAATAATTTCCACTGAATTTTAGGTGTGATTTTTACTGCAAAGCTCCAATAAATCCAGTATGGTAGCTAAAAACTGAAAGTTGTAACTCTGTATGCCGTAGCTCAGAGAACAATAAGGACACCGCCTAAAATTAGCAAACTGAATTTAGCTTTTCTACACTCCAATTCATCATAATTTAAATTTTAGTTTGAATTATTGCAACTTTAAACCTGCTGTATAGTTCAGTGCTGTGTTGTGAGCAACTCGAATGTCTAGTTACAAACACAGAAAACCTCAAACTGAAATAAAGGTACGTGAAGGCGGAGCTTCCTGTTACTGATCAACAGGTATTTTTTAAATGAAAACGCCACAAAGCCAGACCTGACCACCTACTGCAAATAAAAAGCTTTACAGACGACCACGTATAGGCCTAAACTGCATTTATTACCTTAGACCTAGGACGACACTGATATTGAATGTAATATCTCACAATATGTACACACATGAATTATTATTAATACACAGTTATAGCATGTTCAGGCACCTTCACAGTAAATTGACAGAGGAGACTTCCACACCAGGCTTCGACTCAACAATTCGTTGCTTTGTTTACTTTGACTGTTTCTGACCTAAAAATCTTGACTAATGAACTTATCTTGCATTAATTATTTTTGACATTAACTTTTAACTTCGTTAAATGGATAAAGTTTTGGTTTAGTATCTGTGATGACCAGCCAAATCATTTCTGTGTTGAACTGTGGTTGAGCACAGATAGATAAAACACATTTAAGATGTTTGGAGGCTTCAGGCTCCTCTCACTATTTACTGGTTTGTGTGAATCTCTACAGCAAAGAGGGCAAAGTTGGAGCAACTACAGTTTGTTTGTTCTAATATCTCAGTTTAATGAGATGAAACGTCACCCACTGGAAGCTTAGCTTTTTGGCCTCCGCCATGTTGGTTTTTTGGAGGCAGAAGTGGCCATATTTGAGGTGGATGTTATCAGCTAAGGCCAACAAACTTGGTTAGACCTCCCTCACACAGGTCTAGGCACCTGTTGTCAACTGTGGCAACCACTACTTGCTGTTGCTTGGTGAAATCGGTCACACAGATGTACCTACTGCTACGCCAAAAGGTTGGACGACCAAGGGTTTGGTGAGTGTAGGAGCCATTTTTGGGTTAATACCTTATGTGGTCGGCAGCATGGTGGTTAGCACTGTTGCCGCACAGCAAGAAGGTCCTGAGTTCAATTCCACCATCAGGCCGGGGTCTTTCTGTGTGGAGTTTGCGTGGGTTCTCTCCGGGGACTCCGGCTTCCTCCCACCGTCCAAAGACATGCAGCTTGTGGGGATAGGTTAATTGGATAATCCAAATTG